CAGGGAGGGCAGAAGTCAGGGATTAAGGTCCGGGCTGAGGTGAACTGCTCGTCTGCAGTAACCAAGCAGAGCAAATTCTTGTTGACAGACTGGCCCAGCTTCTCTCCTCCCAGATCCATGAAGTTTGGCCTGTCCTCTGGCCTGAGCCCCCAGACAGCCCTCCTGAGGACAGGCTAGGCTAGGGACCTGCCATCCTAACCACACCTGGTCCTTCCTACTTTTGTTGACTCCTCCCTATAAAAGCAACACTCAGAAAGCCCAACTTTTGAGTAGCTTGCAGATGGTATGATCAGACAGCTCTCCCTACTGCACAGCCCCTGCCTGGAATGCAGTCCCTTCTCATCACACCATACAGTAATTCTTTTAAAGTCTCTCCTTACGAAGTTTGGATTTTTCATATTCCACAAGCTGGACCAAGTGTTCGCAATTGCGCGCTTCCTATCCAAACTTTGCTCCTGTCCTCCCCACAGGCATTGTCCCCACGACGATGTCTGTACAAGCACTGAGATGCAGGCGAGGTCCTGCTGACAGGAGCCCAAAGTGTGCTGACCCTCTCTGTCACACCGCCCTCCTGTTCCCCCTCCTCCCATGGAAAAGAAAAGCCCTTTCCTGTCTTATTTGAGAGGCGGGCACAGCTCTGAGATCCGAGCCTTGTCCCTACTGCACCAGACTCTGGAATACAGTCTCCTTAATCAAGTCCGGATTTGACGTGATCTGGCAGGTCAAGGGCGGGTCCCCCCACCCCGCCCCCAGCCCCTGACTACCCGACGGTGGTCGTCTCTGGTCGTCTCGTCCTCCTTCGGTTCCCTGCCCGACCTCGGACTCCAGTCGGGAACCCCGGGAACCCCCTCCGGGGCCGGGACAGAACACCGGGCCCCCACACCGCAGAGACTTGGGTTAAGACCCGGGGGCGCGGGTAGCTCAGGCCAGCGACTGCTTCCAGGCGTCTCTGACCGGTTCTAAAAAGCCGCCGCTACCCCACCGTACCGCCCGGCCCCCCACACTCATCATCCATGCGGGGCTCCAGGGCCGGCGACCCCGGCAGGTGAAAGCAACCGACACCCGAGACCCCGCGGGGTGGGTGCACGGAGCACCACAACCGCCAGGGAGCGCTATTCACGCAGGCTGCGAACCCGCCCACTCCCGGCCGAGATTGGACAGTTATCACCAGGTGACTCGCTCTGATTAGACAGTGGTCCAGACACACCTCCATCAGGTAAGGCTGATTGGACTATACTAGTGTCTCTGAGGTAAACAAGTCGCCGGTCCCGTTCCCCTCACCCCTCAGTGAACAGGTACAGACCTCGAGCGTGAGTAATGTGCGGAGAGACGCTCACGTGACCCAGCCGGGCGGAAACGCGGGTTCTCTGCTTCAGATTTTACCTTCCCGACCTCCTTCCGCCCTAGATGTGGGCTCGCTTAGCAACCCCGCCCATCTGGGCGCCCCGTCTGTATCCTACACCTACAACGAAAACTTTTGACTCAGTTTTGGTGCAAAGCGTCCCTTGTCCAGACCCAGGGCAGGACAGGACAACAGATCTGGTGACTTCCTGGACCAGGGATTAGCCTGGGAGCGAGGTCACTGTAACTCTGTGCCCCTTGTTTAAGAACAAAGCCACTCAATAGTGATGTCATAGCGTGCAAATAGGGCAGGACTTGGTTTTGACCTTTGACACCGGAGGCCCCGCCCTCCTTCCCACCTTAGGTTAGGGCTTGAGGTCAGGCACCCTTAGGCCCTGCTTTCTTTGCCCCGTTGGGATGCCAGACCCCAGCCTGTGTGCAGGACTCCAGCCACAAGTGTGAGATGTTAGAATTCTGAGATGTGTGCATTACACTCCCAAGAAATGTCTTTTAGATCCGTTTTTGAGTGTACCTCTAGAGAATTTTGTAATAACTGTGTAATAGGCTATGACCTCCCTAAGTCAGTCGTATTCCTATTTTAACTCATTTAAGAAAAAGCCATCAAAGCTTAAACAAAGTAGGGCTGGACCTGGAAACTCTTAATACAATGATTAAATTGGGCCCAAACACCTGGAGCATTTCCTAAGCGTGCATATTTCAAAAATACCCTCCAGCTGTGGAAAGAGCAGCAATATAAACTCAGATATCATGAACATTGTACTGATGAACATAATTATAAAAATGCATTTTCTAAGGTTTTCAACGATTCCTGAATGGAGAGCATCCCATGTGGCTCCAAGTAGCTGTAGAAAATGAGACTTATACAGACAGAAGAAGGCGGTGCGATGAAGTTCTACTAGGAAAGAACAAACTGCATGGCAAAGTCACCTTCCTTTAGGGGATGGCAGGAGTCTATGAGGCAGACGACTTTGCTAGTGCTGACCAGGTAACTGTAGACTGACTGGTTGAAGATTCATTCTTGGGAGAGGCTGAAATGCTAAGTTAGGCACCAAGTCTCAGTATGGTGACCTGGAGCTTAGCACAAGTAACTCCATTTGGGGCTGTTTCCTTTTAACACTTTCTTAAAGTTAGTGTTTAGGGGAACAAGTTTTAGAATGGTTCCCTAGGTAGAAAAGACTTCCAATGAACAATAAATTACTTTTTTTTAAAGATTTTTTTAAATTGGGGAATTGGGGGATGGGAACAGCACTGGGGAATTGGGGGAAGGGGAGCAGACAAGTTGCTGTCCTCTTGTTCTTCAGTCTAGTTGTGGAGGACGTTGCTTCACTGGCCCAAGTTGGCACCATCATTGCACTCTTCCCGGGCGAGGCAGATCAGTCGCCGGCTTCTGGACGGCCGCTCACTGCGGCTGCTAGCCGCTCACGCTGGCTGCTGGCCACACACAGTAGCCCATGGCAACCCACTGCAGCAGGGGACTGCAGCCTACACCGTCGCCAGCGACTCATGGCAGCCCAACTCCAGGTTGAGCTGTTGTTCAGCATCTTAGCTGTGGAGGGCAGTGTCACTGGCCCTCATATGTGGGATCCAAACCGGGGCCCTCTGGCATCCCAAGCCAGTTCTTAACCATTGCGCCACTCAGCCGGCCCAATAAATTACTTTTGTTTAGAAAGTATTTAAAATATGGTTAATTTTTTTGCTCTTTATGAAATGATACGGAATGCTGCATTTCCAGAAGTCCAGCCTGAGATTAGAGGTTGAAGACATGTCCATTGCAGGACCCTCAGCACTCGTGTCCACTTCTCTGACTCCCTACTCAACAATCCCATTAGTTTCCTGTACACCTACTCAGCATTTATGTATTATAAAAAAGGGTCAATTTCACCTACAGATTTTATTGGGTTGTCGGAAAAGTCATGACATATTTTTTTCTATGTTTTTTATTGCAAAAATGTGTCATGACTTTTCTGACAACCCAATACTTTCTTCCCTTTGATATAAAAAATAACATGGTGCACATACAGCAATACAATTTGCTTCTTTGGTTCAATTGAAAACAAATCCTACTGCTCTTTCATCTCAACAAGTGACTTCCTGTTGGGGAGGTCTTCAAGAAGAGTTTACCACCAGTTTGACCAGAGGGCTGGACAGGAGCAACTGGAGTCTCCTCATGCCTCTGCTGTCCTTGAAATGTGCTTTCTACCTGCCTTCCTGGCTCCCAGAAGCTGCCCCAAGGATGCAGCCTGCAACTAGAAATGTGACCAACTATCTGGGTAGGTGACTGAACCCAGTTATAGCCTCTGTATAAACTTTTAAGATGCTGGCAGGATGTGTGTGGAAACCTACTGGTCTAGTGGAACAGAAAACAAGGCTTGTAAGAAAGTTAGTTCCCTTGCTTATTACACCTACCACCTGCCAATCTGGAGTGGTCAGCCTCTTTCTTAGGTCTCTCCCTGCTCTTCCCATAAAGAGGCTGGTTTCATATTACACCCGAAAAGCCCCAGAGTAGGTTGCCATATAACAACTGGGGGACAGCACAGATCAAGGAACTGGGGTTTGGGAAAGGGGCATCCTCAGGGCAAATCCTGTGTTGGGCCTGAGCTCTATGTGGGGAAGTGTGGCCCATAAGTTAGAGTGGGAAAACTTAGCCTGCTGTTGTGAAAGCAGGGAGGGCAGAAGTCAGGGATTAAGGTCCGGGCACTATGACAAAGCCTGATTGGGGAACTAAGCAGTGGAATCTCTGGGAAAGTGGTGAGAATGAAGAGGGATGTTATGCTAATTGAAGAGGAAATGAATGAAACCCCCAAGCCATGGACCCCTAATAGAAAGGAAAAATTTAAATAGCAATTAGCCCAAACTGCCTAGGAGAAAAGTTAAAGTTACATTCTTTCTCTGCCCCTCCAGGCTGTGCCTTAAGGTGCTTTGAAATGTAAACACCTCAGCAGATAACCAAAACATTGTCCAAAGGGACTGAAGGTTAAAAGCAAGGGGGGTGTGTGTCTTTTTTTTTAATTGGGGAATTGGGGAGGGGGACTAGCCAAGTTGTTGTTCTTCAGTCTTTGTTGCAGAGGGCGCCAGTCGCCATCTGGCTTCCCATCAGTGGATCGTGGCCTCTAAGCTCAAGGTGCTGTGTTCAATCTTAATTGCTGGTGGGCGTAGCCACCATCCCATGTGGGAGTCGAACCAGCAGCCTTGTTGTTAATATGGCACACTGTATCCACTGAGCCATCCAGGCAGCAGCTCAGCTCAATGTGCTGAGTTAAGTCTTAGATGTGGGCAGGCGTAGCAGGCAGGCAGTCTTGTCAGGAGCACATGCTCTCACCAGCTGAGCCATCCTGCCAACCTGTTGGCAGCTCAGCTCGGGCTTAGCGTCAATGGCCCATGTGGGAATCGAACCAGCGACCCTATGGCTCAGAGCTCATACTCTTAAGCTAACTCTTAACCAACTGAGCCACTCGGCAGGCCGGGGGTCGGGGGGGTGTGCTTTTTAAATACAGAATGCTATAGAAGACCTCTTGCTCAAAAACCTGGCCTCCATTAAGATCAAAATGAAAAAAAAGAAAGTAATTTTATCCTAAAGTAAAATGATTGTTCCAGGATTTAAAAAAAAGAAAATACAAAAGCTGAATGGATATAGAAAGTTGTAGGTTTGTGAAAATAAAGTATTGAGAGAAAATTTTTTATGTAGATAAGGTAAGACTGGAATGGATTTAAGTTAAAAAGAAAAAAGAATTTGAATATCAAAAGTACACTGGTTTAAAATTAGAATTTAGTTTTCTCTTTAAAGATTTTTTATTGGGGAATTGGGGGAGGGGAACAGCGCTGGGGAATCAGGGAAGGGGAACAGACAAGTTGCTGTCCTTTTGTTCTTCAGTCTAGTTGTGGAGGATGTCGCTTCACTGGCCCATGTTGTATTATCATTGCGCTCTTCCCAGATGAGGCAGATCGGTCGCCGGCCTCTGGGCGGCTGTTCACAGTGGCTCTTGGCAGCTCACACCGGCTGCCGGCCTGTCACGCTGGCTGCCAGCCACTCATGGTAGATTATGGCAGCCCATTGCAGCCTCACTGCAGCCTACGACATCACCGGTGACTCATGGCAGCTCAGCTCCAGGCTGAGCTGTTGTTCACCATCTTAGCTGTAGAGGGCAATGTCACTGGCCCTCATGTGGTATCCAAACCTGGGCTCTGCTGCTCAGAGCTGGCGTCCCAAGCCAACTCTTAACCAATGTGCCACTCCGCCGTCCTTCTGTTAAGTTTTCTTAAATTGTTGGTCTGCTCCTAAGAAATTGTAAACAAGGGTCTTAATTTACCTTCCATGTAATCTGCCTAGAAAATAAAGATTCTATGTTTTATCTTTATTAAGCCTTTGATGACTTAAGAAGACTGAATCTTCTCTAGTAAAAGAGCTATGTTTTCTTTTTCTTAAAACTATGTAATCTTTGTACATGCTAAAGTTCATGGGAAATACTATCAAATAAGAAGTGATGCTAAACTTCCTTTAGGGTATATGTACAAAATATCTAAAACTCTGATATGTCCTGGTATGTTATCATTCATAATTTGAAAAGGCATGTTACAGAAATAACCAAATTTCCTTGTTAATTGCATTATAATTACTTGTCATCATATCTTTAGCCATGGCCATTTTTAAGTCCTTCATCATTTGCAGACAGGTATTGTTTTACTTTGAGGCTTAGACAAGAGATCTTCCTGCAAAAGTGCTTCATCTTTAAGGAGATTCGTGGAGACATTGACAAGTACAGATTTCTGATAACTGAGAGCTTCACCTGGTGGGGACAATAATAACCCTTTCAGGTGCTTCCACGAGGCTCCCTGCACAGCTCCACACTGGGCCTCGGGTGCTAGCCCCACACCTGTCTTGATCTTGCTGACATCAGTAAAATGGGCCCATTGCCTTGATGATGTCATCTTCACACGTGAAAACGATTCTACTGAAAGACACGGCAGGCTTCACTGGAACACACAGGAGGGAGAAGATGGGCTGTGAACCCACAGAAAATTCAAGGCCCAGGCACTGCCGTGAGGTTTGGAAATCCTTGGTCAGCTGAGATGAGTGCTGCCCCAGAGGCTGTTTGATCAGGTGCAAACCTATCCAGCCCCTGAAAACATGAAAGGGTTGCAAGCCTCAAGACTTGGGGGTTTGGAAGATTTTCATTCCCCACCTGGTGCAGTACCTCTATCTCTGATGCCACCCAACAAAGAAAGTTCACACGTAGGACAGGATCAGAGCAGCGAGCCACCTTTGAGAAGAAAAGCAAAACTGGAGAAGCTGATTAAAGCTCTGGGCATCTCCCAGGCAGGGCTGCCATTTGGGTTCTGTGTGTGAGACTCCAGGAGGTATGTGCCAGGCACGGTGGCAGAGACAACAGAAGACGGAGCCCTAGGAGGGATCCCAGCTCTGGAGGGAACAGGAACCTGGTATATGCCCACACAGGAACAGCTCCCAGCAGTGCCCACAGCATTCCTCCAGGCGGAGCCTCTCACAAAGGCATGAACCGCAGAATTCACTGGGCGCAAGGCAGAGCTGTCTGGCTCGTGATCCACCGAGAGCCCTGGAAGGTCACCCTTTGCACTGATGACTAAGCTGCTTAAAGGGATCAATGCAGCAGTTTGGACAATGTGAAGCCAAGGGGTGGATGATCATGTGTCACTTGTGAGGTCGGGACATGAGAGGAGCATATGGGTTCACCTCAGATGTCTGAGGCAGTCCTCACTCTTCCATGTCCAGGCTCATGAGGCACTGACACTCCTGGCCATCTGTAAGCTGATGCCCTGGCCTGGGAATGAGCCCTGGAAGCTGACACTTCAGTAGATCCAGCAGATTTGGTGCATACAAAGGGTGACCACCAGTGCCCTCGGGAGACAGCATATTGCCAAGGATGCCAACAGCCCTTGAAATAAAGTGATGTAACTAACGCAGTAACACCATTTCCTGTGTGTTCTAAACAACACCCAAGACAACTATGAAGAGAGCCCAGGTCCAACAATCAGAGTTCCCAAATGGTGAGGAACGAACAGAAAGTTGATATATCGGGCCTCTCCCTGAGCATGAGGGCTCTAAATATGCCTGGGTTTGTGTGCACACTGTGTCTGCCCCAATCCACACTTTCCTTTGTAGCCACACAAATGAGAATCCCACCATTTGGGGGTTGGAGAATCTAAGTCCCATGTATAAATACCCTTGTTGAATAGACAGTTACTAGGGTTCACATTTTACAGGTGAAGATGTGTGGGACAAGGAAAAGAACATGACATTGAATGGAAGTTCCATTTCCACTATAACCTGAAAGTGCCAGGGCCGTTAGATAAAAATCATGGAATACTGAAACAGAAGATTAAACTAACAGTGACACTAAAGTATTGTTCTATGATGTCATACATTTCAAGGATTATCTAGAAGGGCCTGTTGCCACAGCGATCTACAAAAAGCTATGGGAAAATGCAAGGACCTGTATGAACCTGAAAAACACCGAGGATCCATGATGGGGGAGCGTGTGGAAAAGTCTATAGAATGTGCTGCCTAAGAGCAAACTAACATCACTATGTGGTTAAAGCTGTTCTAGACAGTCAAAGCCAGGAGTCAGAAGAATGTGCCATAACTCAGGCCCACTAGGACCCCATGCATCTCTAATATCACCTGACACTACAGAACTGAGTCACGGCTTCTTCACTTCTCCCTTTGAAACCTCATGCATATTCCTCTTCTCATGACCTTTATCTCAGAACCACAAACAGAAGGAAAATGGGATATAGTTTCCTACATCACCAAAACTGACACCACAATTCGGTGGAAACCTCTGGACACCAGCTTTTATCTTCACACCAAAATATCTCTTTTTAAATCAATGCATCGTATCCAATATCCAACCAAGATCAAGGACAATGAGCAGGGGCCAAATTATGAACATACTCAGCTGAGACTGTCCTCTCTAAAGTCTATCCACAATTACTTCTATAAAGAACAATTGAGTGGCATCCACTCGCAACAAATGGGGAACACACGTCTTTCAGTGACAGAGGCTGAAGGGGAGGGTAGAAATCAAATCAGAAAACCCTAGTATCTGCATCAGTGGACCAGAACAGGAATTTCAACAATACAGGACTCATATCATGATCACACCCTAGAAACAACAATCTTTTCTCTAAAATTATATCAAGTTGTACATGAAAATGAAAAGAAAAAACAAAAACCACTTATCACCCCAAGTGCAAAGACACTGTAATGGAAATGAGTCAAGTTTTTTAACTGCACAATTACTGAAAATCTATGTAGTATAGATGAAAGGACACGGGATGTTTATATCTTAAGGGTTCATATCAGCAACAGAAACTAGAAATTAACATGCAGGGATCCCTCTCAAGAGTGAGGCACTTATAAAACCGTATTTGAAACAATTTAAAGATTTCTGTATGCCCTGTGTTTTCATGTACAACATAAGTGAACATCTAGAATTTTCCCACCTCCTTTCCATTCATAGTTTCTTTCCAGTGTTTGCTCACATTGACAGGGTTTTAAGGAACAATAAAGGCTGCCCACAGTTCCCGTATTCAGAGCTTTTGTCAAGTGTATGTCCGTCTTCCCATGCCTTCTCAAGGATGCATAATTCCTGAAGGCTTCACCACATTGCTGACATTCATAGGGTTTCTTCCCAGTGTGCATTCGCATGTGTCTTTGCAGGGATGAGGGAAACCTGAAGGCTTTATCACACTCCTTACATGCATAGGGCTGTGTGTTCTCACATGCTCTCGAAGGGATGAGGAATAAGTGGAAAGCTTTCCCACATTCCATACATTCATAGTGTTTCCCTGTACTGTGCGTTTTTGCATGTTTTCTGAAGTATTTGGGACAATGGAAGCCCCTCCCACATTCCTTACACTCATATGGTTTCTCCCCATTGTGTGTCCTCACATGTGATCCCAGGGATGACAAGTGCCGAAACGCTTTGCGACACTGCTGACATTCATAGGGCTTCTCCCCAGTGCGCATTCTCATGTGCTTTCGTAGGTACGACTTACAGCTGAAGGCTTTCCCACACTCCTTACATTCAAAGGGCTTCTGGTGACCTCTCACATGTCCCCGAGAGGATGAGAGACAAGTGAAAGCTTTTCCACTTTTCTTACACTCAAAAGCGTTTTTACTACTAAGACTCCTCACATATCTCTTAGGTGCTGTCCCAGGATCCTGACATGTCCAGGGTTTCCCCACAAGGTCTGTTCCCACGTGAGTGCTTAGGCATGAGACACACCTGCAGGCTTGCCCACATTCCTCACATGTATAAAGATTGTATCCAGTAGGACCGGCCGAGTGGCGCGATGGTTAAGAACTTGCTTGGGATGCCAGAGGGCCCCGGGTTGGATCCCACATATGAGGGCCAGTGACACTGCCCTCTACAGCTAAGATGCTGAACAACAGGTCAACCTGGAGCTGAGCTGCCGTGAGTCTCCGGCGACGGCGGCATAGGCTGCAGCCCATGTGGCAGTGGGTTGCCATGGGCTACCGTATGTAGCCAGCAGCCAGCATGAGCGGCCAGCAGCCGCAGTGAGCGGCCGTCCAGAAGCCGGCGACTGATC